TCTTGTTTAAAGTGTGCAGTTTTTATTAGTGAAATATCTGCTCCTGTGTCTATTAATAATATTATTGTATTGTTAGTGTCATTTAATTGGACTTTTATAAAAATGCTCAAGTTAAGATTAAGATTATACACTTTTCTTTCTATTGACTTGATCTTAGGGGACTGTGAGAGTTTTCCGAATGTTCTTGGTTATTGTTAGCTATTCTAACATTATTAGTTCGACCATTTTCTTGTCGGTTATAATTGTTTCGGTTACGGTTTCCACGATAGTTGGAGTTGTTATCTCTATTACCATTATTGTTATTGTATCTTCTGTTGTTTTGTCGATTTCCTCCTCTGTAGTTTCCTCTGTTACCACCTCTGTAGCTTTCTCTACCATTTCCTCTGTTTCCATGGTAGGGTTTATTTGATCTACCGAAGTGTAGGATAGTGTTGTGTTGTCCAGTTGCTTCGGTGCAACTTCCGACAAACTTTCCTATTGCTTCGTTCATGGAGTTGAATTGACCTGCCTCCATGATGAGTTTTACTCTATCTATGGTGCAATTTTTGGTCATTGCTTTTATTGCTACTTGGGTTGAGTATTTGGTGGCTTGACTACAGGGTATGCCGTCAGCGATGTATGCGCTTTCTAAGGATTTGGTCAGTGTTTCTATCTCATTGCAGTAAGTATTAGCGGATTTACCACTTTGTCTAATGTTAAAAATTTTTGCCGATATTACTTCAATGGTTTCGCCTTTTACACATGCTGTTAGTTTAGCTATGATAGACTGAATTGTCGTCTCACTGTCTAAGAGGTTTCTGCTATTGCCTTTTAGTTTAGTTTTTATTAAACTAACGGCTACTGATTCGTGGTTGCCTTTTAGTGTGTCTACTAAAGAAAGTGCATCTAAGAATGATCTTAGATTTTCTGGCTTTCCATCGAATTCAGGAATCAACCTGGTGGCAGTATTTATAAATTCTATATTTGTCTGTGCTATGTTGATTTCTTCCAGTCCTTCCTCTTCAGTAATATTATCTTCTATCATAAGTTGTTGTATATTAGGTGTTATAAGGATATTGATATCAATTTGTATTGGTTCTTCAATAGTGTGTGGAACTTCTTGCTGAATATTATGACGGTTAAGGGCTTTAACTAATAAATCCCTGAGTTCCCAAAATATTTTTAATGCTTGGTTCTTATGTGTTTGTGTAAATCTGTTTTTATTTATTGCTACTGTCTTTCTAACATCTTCTATTGAACTTATTATAATGCCTAAATGTTTTCTGATTGTGTCTTGCCCTATGCTACGGTTTTGTGTAATGCATTTATAAGATTTTTTTATTATTACTGCATTAGTTTCTATGGATTTTATTATTGTTTCCCATTTATCCATGGACATAAAATTATCAAGTGAATCTAGTTTCTGGTTCTTATTCTTTCAAAATTTTTTTTTTTTTTATTTTATTTTTTATTAATATTAAGAGGAGTTTTCTTTCTTATTTATACCTTATCTAGTTGGTTTGCCATACTTAGATATTTCTTTTTTAATTTTTTATTGTGCATAGCGTATACATGTAGTGCTAAGTTTATAACGCTTACAATCGTAATTATGACTATACATATTTCTATTGTTTCTATATTAATTTTTTCTTCTGTTACTTCTACTTCATTTATTACGTTAGCGTTGGGCTTTTCTAATTTTGAGTCGGTATTGCCCATTCTTAAAAAAAATTTTGTTAAGTTCAAAAAAAATTTTAACTTAAATCAATTTTAATTAAAAATTTATATTTTTTTTCGTTAGTGAAAAAATTTTCATTTAAGTGAAATTTTATTTTTAAATTGCATTTTTTTTATTTTTTTTTTTGATTTTAAGATAAGATTTTTTTCTTTAAAAGAATTTTTTTTCTTTTTTTTTTATTATTATTTTTTTTCAATTCATTTGCTAATTATTAATTTACAATTTCAATTTGTTTTTCTTAAAAATTGGTTGCCCCGAGCGATTATCGCTTACTGGCCCTATGAGTGCGAATAGGGAGCACTTCATTAATACAATCTATGGGGTTTTTCTCTTATTGTGTTGTCCGTCCTGGTCTGGCGTCCAGGACTTGTTTGATGAGGAACGTTATTTCATCTATGCGTTCCCAGATTTGGCACGATCTTCCCCAGGGTGGTGCTGGTTCTGTGTTCAGCTCACGTTGGAGGATGGCTTTTTCCCTCTTTAGTTTTTGCGTGTAGCCTCCACGCCTCTTCCTTCTTGCTACTGGTGGGATTATTATTTCTTCCTTCTTTGGTTTTTGGTTTTTCTGTCGCCTCCGGTACTCCTCAATGGTCAATGGCTGGGGACCGGGCTTCCTTCTTGTCATTGCAACTGACGGACGCTTTGGCTGTCCCGTCAGGACTTTTGGTTTTAGGTGCTCTAATTTGAAGCACACTTTTCAGGATTTTAATTGAAATTTCATTTTTTGGATTTTTATAATTTTTTGGAAATTTATATATTTTTTTTTTGAGTAGAGGCTCAAAATGAAGCCTCTTTTTAATTTTTAAAATAATTTTTTGGTGCTCTATAGTGCGAAGCACACTGGCAGGATCGCCATGTAAAGAATAATATTTTTAATTTTAGTATAACCGCATGTGTGAGCGGAGTAAATTGTATTGATCTTTATTTTGTCAGAATTCTTCCTTAAAATCTATTTTACAATATGTTTTACTTAATGGTTTAAGTGGTAATGAACTGAAGTGACAAAGAATGCCATCAAGGTCTTTTCATAATGATATTTGATATTTATTTGTGCGAGTTGAATTGTGAAATGATTTGGGTTAGTTTTCTTCGACTTGTTTGTTCTTTAAAAGTCACACTGCATACTACACACTACAATTCCACACGAAAACCGAACCATATGAGACCTGGCACAGACGTTTTGCACATTTAGGAGCAGACAATATGGTGTTGTTAACCAAGGGGTATGTGGATGGTATAAAGTTTCAAATGGAAGAGAAACGACCTTGTGAGTCATGTTCAATGGGCCAGCAGAATCGAATGAGCTTTCCGTCGGAAGAGTCAAGAGCAACAAAGGTTTTCGATATTATACACATGGACGTATGTGGACCAGTGAAGGTAAAATCTTTGAAAGGAAACCGTTGTTTCTTAACTTTTTAGATGACTACACGCGAAAAGTCTACGTGTATTTTATAAAGTCTAAGGAAGGTGTGCTATTTAGATTGCTTCAAGGAATTTAAGGCGAAAGCTCAGAATCAGAAGGGTATGCGTATCAAGATTCTGCGAACGGATGATGATACAAAATTTGTGAATCGTTCTAATTAGATGGAGTTGAAACGATGTGGTATCGTACATCAATCAACAGTCCGCTATAATCCAGATGAGTGATGTGCATTTGCCAAAATTTTTTTGGACAAAGGCTGTGAATTGTGCTGAATATATAATTAATCGATCACCGCATAAAATGTTATCCAAAACTTCGGAGGAATTGGGGTCAGGACGCAAACCTGATGTGAGCGTGTTTCGAATTTTCGGCCGTACTGTAATGTCTCACATTCCGAAGCAGAAACGAAGTATGTTAAATCCAAAAAGTTTGAAGTGTATATTTGTTGGATACTCTACAACTTCGAAAGGATATAGAGAATATAGTTTAAAGAATAAGTATGTTTTTACGAGTCGTGATGGTGTATTTCATGAAAATGAGTTTCATTATCCTTACAAAGAGCATTACATAATGTACCAATGTATACTGCAATAGTGGGGCAAAGTCAGTATGACAATGTAGATACACATAGTTTATTTGAGTCATGTCTATCTCTATCAGGAAATACCAATGAAATGTTGGATAGTGATGAAGTATATGCTGAGGACGGAAATCCTCAGGGGGTCACATTAGTTTAACGAAGAAAATTTGACTCCGGTAAATGCCGAGACTCAAATGCCAATTTTAGATTATGAGGAGATACTTCAAGCTGAATACGTAATACCATCATTGCGTAGAAGTGAGAGACTAGGCAAAAAGGAAAATATCGCATATAGAGCTGGATTAGTACAAAATGTTGATCGTATAAGCTTAAAAGACGAAATGTCAAGAGAGGATAAGAAACAGAGGGTAGAAGCTAATGAAAAGCGAAATAGGTTCTTTGTTGGAAAATGATACCTGGGTGTGCATTGATAAGCCCACAGGTGTAAATCTAGTTAAAACTAAATGGATATTTAAGCTTAAGAAGGAGCAAGAAGGAAAAGTGCGGTATAAATAAAATGGAACCGATTACCATGAAACATATTCAACCGTAGTCCGATATTCTTCTTTACCCCACGTCTCCACCTTCTACGGATTATGTTAAAAAAGCTGTGTTAAGACAGAAATGTCAGGTGGAGAACGCAAATTTCCACTGTTAAAATCAAGTTTCTGGTTCTTATTCTTTCAATTTTTTATTTTTTTTATTAATATTAAGAGGAGGTTTCTTTCTTATTTATACCTTATCTAGTTGGTTTGCCATACTTAGATATTTCTTTTTTAATTTTTTATTGTGCATAGCGTATACATGTAGTGCTAAGTTTATAACGCTTACAATCGTAATTATGACTATACATATTTCTATTGTTTCTATATTAATTTTTTCTTCTGTTACTTCTACTTCATTTATTACGTTAGCGTTGGGCTTTTCTAATTTTGAGTCGGTATTGCCCATTCTAAAAAAAATGTTGTTAAGTTCAAAAAAAATTTTAACTTAAATCAATTTTAATTAAAAATTTATATTTTTTATTCGTTAGTGAAAAAAATTTTCATTTAAGTGAAATTTTATTTTTAAATTAAATTTTTTTTTTTTTAAATTTTTTTTTTTGATTTTAAGATAAGATTTTTTTCTTTAAAAAACATATCTGTCTTGCCGAATTTTTTACCATCACTGTCTTACCATCAAGTGTCATTTCGTGGTTTGACAACTCAATTTTCATTTTATCGCGCCATTTGCATTGAAAAAATTAACTTTTGTGCTAATTTACGAATTCACATTGTGTAATGGAACGTCCATCAGATATTTTAAGATTAATTTGTTTATTTAGGCAGAATGAATGTCTATGGAACTTCAAGTCTGCAGGATATAAACGTGTGGACCTTAAAAGAAAAGCTTGGTTGCAGATCTCAAAAGAATTGGGAAAAGATGTAGAAGAGGTAAAACCCAAAATAAAACATTTGCGAACCACCTATGTTGCTGAAAAGAAGAAAATGGATAGCTCAAAGAAATCGGGTGAAGGAGCTGAAACCCTATATGAGCTCCACCTATATTATTATAACGAAATGAAATTTTTGGATTCTGTTATTGTGTTACGGAAAACAACGAGCAACTTGGAAATGGTATATTAAAAACTGTGTAGTTATTTCAACTATTTTTGTACATACATGTACTATATTTATCTGATTGCAGGAAAATGTTGAGTTTGCGACTGAAGTTCTTGAAGGTGAAGGTTTAGATGAGACATTAATATCAATGTCTCCACCACAAGAATCTGCACCCTCGCTTGCATCGTCCTTCTCATCAACGTCCTCCACTTCATGCACTGCATCTCGACGCCGCAAGCCAAATAAGGAAGCAAACTTTGACAAGGCGCTTGACAGAATCTTCCCCATGGTGTATGTTTACATTTGACACTGACTATATATATATATATATATATATATATATATAATTGCAGCTTACTAACCTGCAGTGAATCTTAGGGTTAAACCCTATACTTACGAATATTTTCAAAGAAATAGTTGAAAGTAATTAGACCGTAAATATATTGCAGACACTGTTTCATTTTCGAATTTGGACTTTATTTCAGAGACTTGTTATTTTGAGCAAAACATATTATAATTTATGGCTCTCCAAAATTATTATAAAATGCATAACTCTGCTTTATTTTCATCAGTTCATATTTAATGGTACATTTTTAGTTTTCGTCCATTGAAATGGAACATTACCATCAGAATTGCAGTAGCTCCGCACGTTGTCTCTGATTTGGCAGACATACCGGTATCCACTTTGATCTTGCAGTGGCAAAGATGACATAGTTGCTGGTAAGTTTTGCGCAAATATCTGACCCAAATACGGAGGTTTCTCGATTGGCTTCGTAAAATAATTATGCAAGATGCAACACAACACACGTCTCAACCGGGCGGTGAAATATTCTAAATCTAGCTGATAGCCTTCCGAATGCCATTTCTACGCTCATCCGTGCTCTACTCAACCTATAGTTAAAAATTTTTTGGGAAGCATTAAGATTACTGTTTCAATTGTATGCTTTGAGTAGGTGTCGGTAAAATGCGAAGATATCATCGCCAATAAAATAATATGGCGTGGGGAAAAGTTGCCCTTTTAGTGGTTTGCTTTGCAGAATGTTGTTAAATAAATCGGCTATGGGCATTAATTACAGCCAATAGCACTATGCTAAAATATCCCTTATAATTATAGTAATCCAATCCGGACTTTGTAGGTGCATTGATTCGGATGTGCTTGCCATCGATAGCACCTAATGTATGAGGAAACTGCCAAATTGTCAGCAACTTGATTCCACTCATCCAATAGTGATGGATGCAAATTCGTATCGGAACTGGCAGTGCGGGCTATTGGGGGTGTGCATAAAAAAAACACTATTAGAAATTGGCGCTGAGCACTTGGGCCATAGTGAAATTTATTGTGCGGATACCCTAGACTATACTTACATGAATCTTTCCTGGAACTCAAGTCGAAGACGCTGGTATCTTTAAGGAGTCTGTTGGGAAAAAACCAAATAATTTTTGTATTAAAACCATCAGCAGATGCTGGAATTAACTTTCAGCATAATTTATCAAAAAGGTTACCTGAAAATTTCAAAATTATTGGAATTTAGCTGAAAAATATAAATTTAACACGAACTTTCAACCAGAATGCTATTGGAAAGAAGAAGAAATCCAACAGTGATGGATGCCATTTAAAAATAAAATCTTAAGACAGCAAGTTGCCCACATGAGAAAACGGGACAATGTCAAAACAGAAATTTGACAGATGTTAAGACACATTTAGTAGAAAATGGAGACTTGGGGTTAATATATCTCAGCGCCTTAGCCATGAGTTGGAAATTCACCAGATGGATGCAGTGACTGCATTTTTGCAAGGAGAGCTAAATGAAGATATTTACACAGAGAAGCCAGAAGGGATTGAGGTAGGTAGTAAGGATCAGGTTCTGAAGATTAAAAAAAAATAATATATGGCTTAAAGCAATCCAGTTTAGTGTGGAACATGAAGCTGAACATAGTATTGCAGAAACTAGGACTGCAACGTTCTAAAATAGATTCATACATTTACTACCATCACGATGGAAGAGGAATGATTTTCCTAGCAATCTGTGTTGATGATATACTAATGTTTAGCAATGAGCCAACATATCGAGAAGATTTGATAATTCATAATTAATGAAGCTGTTTAAAATGAAATATTTAGGTGAAGCAAAGCATTGCCTGGATATTCGTATATCCCGTAATAAGGACGGCATTTATTTAGATCAAGAGTAATACATTGATGAAATGTTGAAAAAGTTCAACATGAATGAAAGTCATCCTGTGCGAACGCCTATGGATTTAAATCAGGGACCGGAAATAACGATTATCCTTTGAAATTTCAACTCAAAAAATCACGCTGAAAGAGAAATGCTACGTGCATAAGGAGTAAACCAATATACTTTTTATTACTCGGCATACTTTCAGCGGCACTGATTTTTATTTTTTAATTTTTACTTATAAAAATCAAGTTTATTCATTATATTTTGAGTTTTATTTTTTACTCAGAAAATAATTGTCATGTTTTGAGTTTTATTTTTTGCTCGGAAAATAATCGTTGCGTTTCAAGTTTTATTATTTGCTCGGAAAATAATGGTTACGTTTAAAGTTTTATTTTTTGCCCGGAAAATAATGGTTACGTTTTCCGTTTTAGTATTTGCTCGGAAAATAAAGGTTACGTTTTAAGATTTATTTTTGGCTCGGAAAATAACCGATACGTTTTAAGTTTTATTTTTTGCTCGGAAAATAATGGTTACGTTTTAAGTTTTATTTTTTGCTCGAAAAAGAATCGTTACGTTTTAAGTTTTATTTTTTGCTCGGAAAATAATCGTTATTTCTTGAGTTTTATTTTTTGCTCAGAAAATAAAACTTAATTTTTGCGTATGCGTAAGCGCATGCGTGAATAGACAGGGGGCGGCTGCATTGAACCTTTAACGCCACTGTGGAGTGGGTAATGAAAATACAGATACCATGAAGATGAAGCTGAAGATGCAGATGAAGATGAAGAAGAAGATGAAGATGAAGATGAAGATGAAGATGAAGATGAAGATGAAGATGAATTCATCTTCATCTTCATCTTCATCTTCATCTTCATCTTCATCTTCATCTTC